AAATTACATGGTTCTACGACAATTTTGACCTCGAACCCCTCCCATAGGCATTTTTAAATTGGCTGTTGTAGGTGGCGCTATAGAGCCAATTTCAAAATTTTAACTTTCAAATGACCTAGACCCAAGAGTTGAACCATGGATTCAAGTTTTGTGCAAATCAGACTTTGTTTGTGCAAACGGAAGCAATTTTTCTATTGTCAAAAACTGAAAAAAAATACGCCACTTTTTGGCGCTCTGCTGCTCGAAACAACGTTTCACTGATCAAAATTCCCTGAAGTCATTTTGATGGTACATGTGTTGAGATGATGTGGAGCGATTTTGAGGCGAATCGGTGAAACGGCCGAGGCTGGTTTGATGTTTGTGTGAGGTGTACATTTGCAATGAATGGGGAGCGTTTCTCGTCGCCACGGCAACAGGGTAACAAAAAAGCCTTGGACCTGATTGACTTTTTGAATCAAGAGGGCAATACAGATTTATGTGCAAAATTTCAAACATTTTGAAAAAACTAAATTTGGAAATGCCCATCTAAAACTTTGAAATAGTCTGTAGGGGGCGCTAATGAGTCAATTGGAATATTTTACTTTCAAATGACCTAGACCCTAGAGCTGAACAATGTATTAAAGTTTTGTGCAAATCAGACTTTGTTTGTGCAAACGGGAGCAAATTTAATGTTGTCAAAAACGGCCAAAAAAAGGTCACATTTTGCCGCTCCGCTGCTCAAACAATGTTTCACTGATCAAAAATCCCTGAGGTCATTTTGAAGGTACATGTGTTGAGATGATGTGGAGCGATTTTGAGGCGAATCGGTGAAACGGCCGAGGAGGAGTCGCTTTCCAACCGACATGTATGAAAACTTTTGCTGTTCATTTTTCCATTTTGCAGTGAAATTTATGGGCTTCCTGTTTGTCAGAGGGCGGGGCCATAATAATATTTTTTTCTTGTCTTGACTTGAGGAACATGTGTACCAAATTTCATGTTTTACGACAAACTTGACCTCCGAAAAGTCCCATAGGGGTATTATTTTGGCTGTTGTAGGTGGCGCTGTTCTGTCATTTTTTGAGTCCCATAAAAATAAACACCAAAATATCAAATTTTTCGCCAGGTCTGATTTTTGGGCCAAAATTAACAACTTTTCATGCATGTTCAGGGGGTCAAATTAAGGCTCAAAGTGCAGAAGAAAAAAGAAAGAAAGAAAGAAATAAATAAATTAAAGCCGCAAGCGGCGTCGAACGGCCCTCGCCGCACCGCGCGACTCCCTGCACCGCGCGCACTCCCCGCCCCGCCCGCCCACCAGCCGCCCGCACCGCCCCGCACCAGCCCGCACCACGCCGCCCGCACCACACCCGCACCAAGCCGCAACGCGCCGCTCCACAACGCCCCGCACTACGCCGCACCACACCGTACCACGCAGCACCGCTAAAAGGAGGTGGCACCGCCGTGTGATGATTTGTTCCCGTAGCCATAGAAGAATGTTAGTCAAATTGTAATGAATATGATAAGTAGAGCTGGTTTGGCTCCCCCATGTAAACTTTGACACAGTCTGTAGGGGGCGCTAATGGGCCAATTTCCAATATTTCACTTTAACCTGACCTAAACCCTGGAGTTGAACAATGGATTCAAGTTTATTGCAAATCAGTTTTGTGCAAACGGAAAAATCAAAAACGCCAAAAAACCTCACATTTTTTCCGCTGCTCAAACAACGTTTACTGATAAAATTCCCTGAAGTGTTTGAAGGTAAAAGTTGAGATGATTTGGAAAAATTTTGAGGCCAATCGGTGAAACGGCCGAGGAGGAGTCGCTTTCCAACCACTGAAAATGATTGGTTTTCATTTTTCCATTTTCAATGAAATTTATGGGCTTCCTGTTTGTCAGGGGCTTAGCCATAATAACATTTTTCCATGTCTTGACTTGAGGAACATGTGTCCAAATTACATGGTTCTACGACAATTTTGACCTCAACCCCTCCCATAGGCATTTTTAAATGGCTGTTGTAGGTGGCGCTATAGAGCCAATTTCAAATTTGAACTTTCAAATGACCTAGACCCAAGAGTTGAACCATGGATTCAAGTTTTGTGCAAATCAGACTTTGTTTGTGCAAACGGAAGCAATTTTTCTATGCAAAAACTGAAAAAAATACGCCACTTTTTGGCGCTCGCTGCTCAAAACGTTTCACTGATCAAAATTCCCTGAAGTCATTTTGATGGTACATGTGTTAGATGATGTGACGATTTTGAGGCGAATCGGTGAAACGGCCGAGCTGGTTTGATGTTTGTGTGAGGTGTAGCAATGAATGGGGAGCGTTTGTCGTCGCCACGGCAACAGGGTAAAAAATAAGCCTTGGACCCAATTGACTTTTTGAATCAAGAGGGCAAAACAGATTTATGTGCAAAATTTCAAACATTTTGAAAAAACTAAATTTGAAAATGCCCATCTAAAACTTTGAAATAGTCTGTAGGGGGCGCTAATGTGTCAATTTGAATCAATTCACTTTCAAATGACCTAGACCCTAGAGTTGAACAATGTATTAAAGTTTTGTGCAAATCAGACTTTGTTTGTGCAAACGGGAGCAAATTTAATGTTGTCAAAAACGGCCAAAAAAAGGTCACATTTTGCCGCTCCGCTGCTCAAACAATGTTTCACTGATCAAAAATCCCTGAGGTCATTTTGAAGGTACATGTGTTGAGATGATGTGGAGCGATTTTGAGGCGAATCGGTGAAACGGCCGAGGAGGAGTCGCTTTCCAACCGACATGTATGAAAACTTTTGCTGTTCATTTTTCCATTTTGCAGTGAAATTTATGGGCTTCCTGTTTGTCAGAGGGCGGGGCCATAATAATATTTTTTTCTTGTCTTGACTTGAGGAACATGTGTACCAAATTTCATGTTTCTACGACAAACTTGACCTCCGAAAAGTCCCATAGGGGTATTATTTTGGCTGTTGTAGGTGGCGCTGTTCTGTCATTTTTTGAGTCCCATAAAAATAAACACCAAAATATCAAATTTTTCGCCAGGTCTGATTTTTGGGCCAAAATTAACAACTTTTCATGCATGTTCAGGGGGTCAAATTAAGGCTCAAAGTGCAGAAGAAAAAAAGAAAGAAAGAAAGAAATAAATAAATAAATAAATAAATAAAAAAGGAATTTTTTGTGACTTGTCTCGAGCAAAAACAATATAGGTTTCAATGGCATGTGATTCATCATTTTAAAGCTTTTGAGTTTACGCACGCAACCGTCACGTTTTGGTGAGTGACGGGCGCTGACGCGTCCGTCACGCACCGCCACCATTTGTTTTCACCATTGTGAAAGCAATAGGCCCTTACCCCGTTCGGGGCTCGGGCCTAATAAAAAAAATTTTTTTTTCGACGTCTCGAGCAAAAACAATATAGGTTTCAATGGCATGTGATACATCATTTTAAAGCTTTGAGTTTACGCACGCAACCGTCACGTTTTGGTGAGTGACGGGCGCTGACGCGTCCGTCACGCACCGCCACCATTTGTTTTCACCATTGTGAAAGCAATAGGCCCTTACCCCCCGTTCGGGGCTCGGGCCTAATAAATAAAAAACAATATAGGTTTCAATGGCACGTGATACATAAAAAGCTTTTGAGTTTACGCACGCAACCGTCACGTTTTGGTGAGTGACGGGCGCTGACGCGTCCGTCACGCACCGCCACCATTTGTTTTCACCATTGTGAAAGCAATAGGCCCTTACCCCGTTCGGGGCTCGGGCCTAATAAATAAAAAAGGAATTTTTTTTTTTCGACGTCTCGAGCAAAAACAATATAGGTTTCAATGGCACGTGATACATCATTTTAAAGCTTTTGAGTTTACGCACGCAACCGTCACGTTTTGGTGAGTGACGGGCGCTGACGCGTCCGTCACGCACCGCCACCATTTGTTTTCACCATTGTGAAAGCAATAGGCCCTTACCCCGTTCGGGGCTCGGGCCTAAATAAATAAATAAAATAAATAAAAAAGGAATTTTTTTTTGACTTGTCTCGAGCAAAAACAATATAGGTTTCAATGGCACGTGATACATCATTTTAAAGCTTTTGAGTTTACGCACGCAACCGTAGGAGTGACGGGCGCTGACGCGTCCGTCACGCACCGCCACCAGTTTTCACCATTGTGAGAATAGGCCCTTACCCCGTCGGGGCTCGGGCCTAATAAATGAGCCGCAAGCGGCGTCGAACGACCAGAGAGATGAGCCCACCCCGCACCACTGCCGTCCCGCATCCACGCCGCCCAGCACCAAGCCGCAACCACTGCTTCCACAACGCCGCACTTACACCGCAGCCACACCCCACGCAGCACCGCGCATAGAAGAGGTGGGCACCGCCGAGAGACACCCTACTGACCAGAGAGAAGAGAGAGACACCCTACGGACCAGAGAGAAGAGAGAGAAACCCTAGGGACCAGAGAGATGAGAGAGACACCCTAGGGACCAGAGAGATGAGAGAGACACCCTACTGACCAGAGAGAAGAGAGAGACACCCTACGGACCAGAGAGAAGAGAGAGAAACCCTAGGGACCAGAGAGATGAGAGAGACACCCTAGGGACCAGAGAGATGAGAGAGACACCCTACGGACCAGAGAGAAGAGAGAGACTGCTTTGTAAAACAACAAGGTCCTGGGTTCGAATCCCAGTTGGAAAAGGGTCCTTCTAAGTGGAGTTTGCATGTTTCACACTGTGTCTGTGTAGGTTTCCTCCAGGTGCTCCTGTTCCCCTGCCTCTAACACATGCACAGTAGGTGTGGCCTCCTGCAGTGCTATATAAATAAACTTTACTCAGAGACAGCTGCTGTTGTGGTTCAGGGCGGGACACGAACCCATGACTGATTTGAATGAAGAGATAGAACCTTCTGCATCATCTTCAGAAGAAAGTGACGCCGAGGATTGTGGGAGCTTTTGAACATGACAAGTGGCTGGACCCTCTGTATAGGAGCTCCGAGGGGGGGCTGTGGGGGTAGGGCCTGTGTTACCGCGGTGACGGGCAGCGTCCTCAGGCATGGCGGCCGCGGCGGCTGCCTGGGGCCCGGGACATTGTCAGGTCTTGGATGGTGTCTGCTGGTCTGGGGCTGGTCTGGGGCTGGTCTGGGGCTGGTCTGGGGCTGGTCTGGGGCTGGTCTGGGTCTGGTCTGTCGCTGGTCTGTCGCTGGTCCCGCGGCGCTGCAGTCTTCTGCCCTGTCTCCTGACGGGACAGTGGCAGTAATCGCCTGTAGCCGTGTCCGCCCCCGACCGCCACGCTCCCAGGACCCTGGTTTTAACTCAGGCCAAGTCCAATATTTGCATCAGACCTCACAGCTCTTCAAACACAGAGTCTGAGGCCAACTCTCTTCAATGCGGCGCCCCCTACGGTTCACACGGGCACATGTCCACCGGACGTCTTGGCTTTGCCCTCAGACGGATGGACAGTGCTAACGCTAGCTCAGTGAAGGCCAACAGGGAAGTGCTCAGGGGGAAGTTTGGCTCCTCTCTCTGGCTCCGATTGACTTCTATGTTAATGTGAGGACTAGTCCAGTCTGAGACTCTGGACCTGAGGACTAGTCCAGTCTGAGACCCTGGACCTGAGGACTAGTCCAGTCTGAGACCCTGGACCTGAGGACTAGTCTAGTCTGAGACCCTGGACCTGAGGACTAGTCCAGTCTGAGACCCTGGACCTGAGGACTAGTCCAGTCTGAGACCCTGGACCTGAGGACTAGTCCAGTCTGAGACCCTGGACCTGAGGACTAGTCCAGTCCCTCATTACAGAAACTATTATCAAAGTCAGGACTCTGACTGAAACCATTGTGCCACAGCAACACTGACAGCTTCTCTCTCACCCCCCCCCCCCCCACCCCCCCACCCCCCCCCTCACTAATACCTTCCTGTCTCCATTATCAGTGGCGGGGTCAGAGTGTGTAGAGATCGTGGCCTCTGATCTTTGCTCAGACCAAAATAGATCGGACAGAGTTCCAGTTGAATTATGTGTCTCGGCCTCAGGGACCAGAACGACACATAACAGAGGACCAGGAGTGACCGGCAAAGTCTCTGTGTCTGAAGCAAAGTCTCTGTGTCTAAAGCTAGTACAGGGGGAGTGGATTGAGAAGAGACCAGAGAGAGACCAGGGAGAGACCAGAGAGAGACCAGAGAGAGACCAGAGAGAGACCAGAGAGAGACCAGAGAGAGACCAGAGAGAGACCAGAGAGAGACCAGAGAGAGACCAGAGAGAGACCAGAGAGAGACCAGAGAGAGACCAGAGAGAGACCAGAGAGAGACCAGAGAGAGACCAGAGAGAGACCAGAGAGAGACCAGAGAGACCAGAGAGAGACCAGAGAGAGACCAGAGTGAGACCAGAGAGAGACCAGAATGAGACCAGAATGAGACCAGAATGAGACCAGAATGAGACCAGAGAGAGAGACCAGAGAGAGACCAGAGAGAGACCAGAGAGAAACCAGAAAGAGAGACCAGAGAGAGACCGAAGTCTCTTGTGTCTTGTGTCACATGGTTCTGTGATGTTCCTTCGTCACAAACTCATAGTTTTGATTGATCTGAGAAACCCTCCTCCTTTGTTTTATGGTTACAGCGTTACAACGCCCCCCCCCATGTATCATGGACCTCTCTGAGGGCCTTCCCCTGGAGCTGCAGGAAGCCCCCCCACTGGGCCCATTGACCCCGTACTGAGCCCCTCGGGGGGGGCACAGCCTGCAGTCTGCACGGATGATCGAGGCCTGTTGCTTCGGCTGTAAATCAGCCACCACCGCCGTCACCGCCGTCACCACCGCCGTCACCGCCGTCACCGCCGTCACCGCCGTCACCGCCGTCACCGGCGCCGGTGGCGGCAATGGTGGTGACGGCGGTGACGGTGACGGCAGTGGCGGCGATATCGACAAAGGCGCTCGTTGAGTCGGCAGCGCTCGCAGCTCAGACTGGAGGTTTTTCAGACACCAGTGCATTCTGGGAGATCAGCACTTGTCAAAGAGGACGTTAAACATTCTAATCCTTTAGTTTAGTTAAAAACGCAGTGACTGTCAGGAGGAATGGGCAAGAATTCTGGCTAACTGTTGTGAGAAGCCTGTGGAAGTGGTTAATACAGCTTTTAGAAGTGACTGAAAATAGACCAATAAACCATCGTTGAACCGTTTCTGTCAGAGGTGATGTCACACTGCGTCTGTTCACAGCTTCTCTTTGATCCTGACCTTTGTACTTTGAAAATCCAAATACAAACATCGACCAATCAGAGGCCTTCCTTCAAACTCCAGCTGCCTTAGCAACCGTCTTAGCAACAGGTCTATGTTACTGCGCGACGCTAACGCCATCGGAACAAACGCCCAAATAAGGAAATGGCTCCGGCTTGTTTTCAGATCTCTTAAACAGATGTTGTTACGGTGAAGATTCTGTGGAAGAAGTTCAGTTTAAAAACAGATGAATTGTATCATCACTGAAGGCTGTATCCGAATGTCCACACTATACCCTATCCACTCACTCACTATATAGTTCGGGACTATATAGTTCGGGACTATATAGCGACTGAGTGAGTGAGTCAGTGCACTCATTCTGTTGGCGATTCGGACACATGCACACTATTTTTAGCCGCGGCCCACATCACACCCCTGTCACATGTCATTGGATCAATATAATTTTATATATAAATAAAAGTATATTAAAATATCAATATTTGTCTAATATACATGTATAAAATGTTTTTACAATTTATATTCATATTTATGAATTTTGGTTGACTTATTTGCTTAACGTCTTTCATATTCCCGCCACCTGACCGGCTCCTCTAACACCGGTGAAATGGCACCTCCACTGAATTTTGCGGTGTTTTTGTTAACAATTATAAAACTTCTCATAATGCGAATTAAACACCGCCGAACAGAGAGAAGGCAAAGACAGGCGATGAGGCGGAGGAGAATGGCTCTTCTTTCATTAGCAAGGCGTCGTAAGTATTGTATTCGTCCTTTGTCTATATAGCATTAGCACCATCTACTGGGTAAATTATAGTACTTACTAATTCAAAATACTATTCTCAGTCAATGAGAAACACATTAGTCATATACATTTAGACATATTTCAACAAGAAAACACATTGTATAGACACACTCACTTAAAATGCAAGAACATTAAAATATTTTATTGGTTGAAAGAACACAAAACCATAGCAAGGGAAATGGATTAAGTACTCATTTTTTCTAAATGAAAAATGAGTACTTAATCATTAAACAATAATAGAATTTGCTTGGCCATGGGGCACAGGGCTTCTGTGATTTTTTTGTGTGTTATTAGGTGCGAGTGATGTAGTGAGGGTTTCTACTTCAGTTGTCTCAGGGCAGCTCCAGCTCCCTGCAACACACAATACATTTGGCAAAATCAATGCCAGGGCACAAAAGAACATGACTTCAGCTATATACTCTTCATTTTTATTTACATTTTTAAATCTCAAAATGAAAAATGAGTACTTATTCCTGTGTCTGCACTCATAACTAAAAGTGCAGATACAGAATTAAAAAATGAATCTAGAAGTATCATATTAAGTTTAAGAGAATTTTTGTTTTGTTTTAGGGTGAACCACCGGTGTACTG